ATATTTCCAATTTTATTTGTTTCGATTAAGCGGATCTACCATAAATGGGTGAATACAAAAGCCATTAAATGAGATTTTTATTTATTGAAATAAAAAATTGTTTAGATAATTATATTATATCGTTTGAAATTATTTCTTATACATATCGATCGTGTTTAATTTAAATGTTAGTGTTTGGTTTTTCACTTGAAAAAATGTTGGCATGAAAACATTTAAAAATGGTATCCTGAAGTACACCAATTGACACAGAATCACTTAATAGGTGATTTAACGATGCCCGTCAGATTAGCAAATCCTGCAATCAATCTTGTATAAACAATATATCCAGCAATAACTTACATTGGAAAGTATGGGGTTAAAATGCTAAAATTTACTTATACAATAGAATTTTAAGTCATTCCCCCCCACACCAATAGAAGTTCCCTTGAAATTTTCATTCCCCTCGAAGGGAAAATTGCTATCGTGAACTTGTTGTGAACAATTCATTCACAATAGTTGATTTTGTATGCAACAGCTGTTCAATGTTTACAAAATTTCACCAAAAAATTTCACAACAGGGGAATTTTGTTCACAACAAAAAAGTTAGTAAACGAATAAAATGGAAAGGGAACATATTTCACGTGAAAAGTTGATTGGCGATAGGGATGATTATTTTAACACTGTGAAGACATTAGAGGCAAGTACTTACCACGTTCGCTTACAAATAGGTAGTTAGGTAAGTACTTACTACTATCGCTTGAAAATATGGAGTTAAGTAATTAGTTTTGTTTCTAAGAAAAAAACTGCCTACAAGATAAGTTAGCTTTCACAAAAACAATCATTGTTTTTCCTTTGTGTTAAAAACAAAGTTCGAAATCAATATGCCAAGTCTAAAAAGTAAGTACATACATACTTACATAATATATTATTTGTAAGTCATGTCTAGACTCCTTCTAAGTAATGCAGACGGTATGTATTAGTCATTAAAAGTAAGTAAATGAGCGATATATATAAATTCCGCAGTGAATTTTTGTAATGATCGGTTAATAATTGACACAATGAGGCCCCTAATAAATTAATCAATGATTAAGGGATCGATCTATAATTAACCAAACCTCCATGATGATTTATTCAAAAAGTTGATTGTTCTGAAAAATTTCATAATGGATCTCTATGAGGATCGATAAGTACAAAGCCCACATAATTCATTTTCCAAAATTAATATATTTATAAATAATCTTTAATTTTTTTACGAAATTTTGTTGCTCCACTTTCTCTTTTCGTACGAACAATACGGGTTTTAAAATCAAAATGTCAGATGGGGTCAAATTAAATAAAACATTTAATACATTTTACTAAAAAACTCTCTATCACATCAAATATTTTATATCGGAAGTGTGATAAATTGATTACACGTCTAATTCCTGTCACTTTAGTGAACAAAATTAAGAGGAAAGTTGTTCTTAATCTGTCGATACAATAGCTGATTCACATACAAGGTTTCATTAATTCGTTTGTCCAATACGAATTGGTAAATTAAACATAATACTCTACTGAGAGAAACTATGTCACAAGAACTATTGTCTATTGTCACATTTAAAAATATTACATAAAATTTATTAAAGAGACAACGTAACGGTCGACCTTATAATAACCGAAAAAATATATATAAACAAATACGAAAACGTAAATGTATTATAATAGTAACAGATACATATATGTAGATAGAATAGATACAAATAAAAAAATAATTACCGCATTCATGGTTTGATTCTGATGAAAATTTTAAACACGAAAATAATACTTATTTGAACATTGTACAATGTACATGTTAGTGTTGTTAATTATTTTCATTCTATTCTATTTCATTCCAAATGTTCGTTACTCTTTTCAGATTCACGTATTTAGTGAGAATTTAAGAAAAAAATACAAATTTAGATTTTCATACAAAATCGCTTCAAATAATGCTGACTAGATTGGCTGACCATTAAGTGTTACAGCTGATTGCTGGCATTTATATTTACTCATTCATTTCAATAACACTGTGCTGGTAGTTGGAAAAATATTTTTTCTAGTTACTATACCTGTATTTTTCTTTGAAACTGAAGCCTTTCTTTGTATTGAGTCGCCCATTTAACAACTATTTAATTTAATTCTTTGGCCAACAAAATAAAATAGCAAACTACATATTTTGTAACCTTTATGTGCTATTACATCATTGAAAAATCCACTAGCAATTGTACACGTATTTGTGTTACTGTTTATTTTTATTCGTTATTCGATTCATTACCAGATCAAAATTCTACAGAACTAATGAACACTAAAAAAATAACAAAAAAAAATTCTAATAAATACAATGAAATTTGTATGTACTTTTTCGATTTTATACAATTTGTATTCAAACAACAAAAATAAAATCACAAATTTTAGCTTTTATTTAAAATTATAAATTTAAATTCTATGGGTATAATCCGCAAAATGTTGGAAATAAAATAGAAAAAAAAACTTTGAACACCTAAAAACTCAAATAGATAAATATACTCGCATGCCGTATTGATACATCTAAAAACTCTACAAAAAAATCTAAAACAAAAACCGCATACCGTACGTCCATGTACTTCTATGATTATGACCGCGCAGCCGATAGATACATACGTATAGAGGGACAGACATACAAAACATGGGAAAATAAAATAGAAAGTTCTGTGTGTAAAATTTAAATTTACGATCTTGGTTAAATGATAACGACATCTAAGAGCCGTTTTAAATTATCCAAAAAAACAACAACTACAACATGAAAATAAATGTTAGAGAAATATAGAGATTGAAATACAAACAATAAAGAAATATTTAAAGTTGTAGTAAAAGAAGAAAAAACAAAGATCTCTACTATGAACCACAAACAATGACTTTGTTGTCTTTATGCAAAAAATAAATAAAAAAATAACCAGAACTTAAAATTTGGCTGTGCCGACTTTTTGGAGCCCTACACTAGCAAACAAATAAGTTGTTAGGATTCTATACATTGACTTTAGAACAATTTTTTAGAACAGAGTCGATTAATAGACTATATTTAAGGAAAAAGTCGAGTAAAGGAGAAAAAATTTAATTTACAGTTTATTGTGCTAAAACTCCCAAACCTTAAACTTTTGATTCCAACGCGCATTTCGTCGGTAGCTTAAGACCGCTCATCAGCAAACTTTTCTCAACATAATTTAAAATGTTTATACTACCTTACTTTTATAAACTCAATGAGAATTAAAAGAATATACTAAAAAAATCTAAAGTTTTGACAAAACCAACAATACATTTACCTAAATTTACAATTTCTACATTTTCGAAGAAACGACATTTTGTAAAAAGTTGACTTTTCGGAAATAACAAAAAGTTGAAAAGTCGACTGACAATCCTTGGTCGTTGTTCATTGATTTTCAAACAACTCGTTAGAATAAAATTGCCTATAAATCCTCCAAAAAAGAGGTAGAAGACTCCATCAATTCCTATCGCGATAGTAAGTATTATACCCGTTGCAAACGAGGAACGAAACCTACCAACTTCGCACTAGAGTAGTATTGGCGTAACTATGATCGGAATGGTGTACCTTTTAAAACTAGCATTGGTTGATAATAAACGACACCATTAAGGATCTCTGTGTGGCCTCCGTTAGGTTAGTGTTCTAGTCTGGTCGACCGAAGATATTGTGTTCGATTCCCACCTGAGGCCTGATAGAGGGCTAGGTGTATTTCTTCGGATTTGATGTATATACATCCTCCTTTCAAACTAAGTAACTAAGGATCTCTGTCCTGCGTGTGGCATAGGTCCACACAATGTTCAACACCTTTTCAACTGCAGGGCAAATCAAATTCGGCTGGAAACTAAATCCCTTTGAACCCAGCCGACAAATGCGACTCGGGTGGAATGACAATTTCATGGGAACAATAGGGGTAAAGGTGTCACCAACGACTTAATAAAATGACAATGCCGCCAAACTAAATTGTTGTGCATAAAACAGACCTATTATATGTATTTATACATGTATGTATGTGTGTAATATTAACAACTTAACACACTTGTATGTATACAAGTGTAAATGTGTTTTTACAATAGATACTCTTGTATGTAGAATGAATATTTTAATCATAAAAAAATTTCGTTTTCAATAGAAGTTTTTCATAAAAGTAAAACAAACAAACATATAATAAAAACTTAGATACATAAAATAAATGTATTTTTTTTTTCTTTGTCTGATTTTTTTTTTTTGCATACATTTTCATAAAAAATAAAAGAATAAAACAGAAACATTGGTAAAATACGTTGGTAGTTTATTAAAAAAAATAATATCATAGGAATACACTATAGGATAAAATAATAAATACACTTACACACTCATTGCCACTGCTTTAAAAACTGCATTTTCTTTGTGTTTTTGTTCAAATTATTCTATAAGTTAAAATTTTGTAAACATTTTTAATAAGTTAATATTACTAGAAGTGGTTTAATTTTGACTTGATACTTTCAAAAATTCTTTTCAGAAGAAAGCACTCTCTAGCTTTAAATTTGTTTATATACATATATGCGGAATTACGGACCTGAACAAAATTTTGCCAATATATAAGTTGAAATAAATTTGAATTAAATAAAAACAAGATTCTGAGCCGAATTCTCAATTTGATAAAATATTTACGCCTTTAAGTTCAAATATTGAGAAAATAACACTTTTAAATATAATTTCAACAAATTCAGAATATATTCTTATAAACGAAAATACATCAAGAATTCCAGAAAAAAATAAGGCCTAAACAATGTACAATGAAAATTTTAAAAAATTTTGATTATCTAAACAAAATTAATGATTTAAGAATGTAAAAAATTTTCAAGAACCTGCAAAAATGTGATGGAGGGTGGTGTATTTATTATTTTGACCTTTAATGTAACCTCAGAAAGAAAAAATAAAATAAAAAGTAAATAAGAATAAAAACCTAAAACTAAGTGAAAAAAAAAACAACTCAATAATAGTTTACCTTGGTTTCTTTTGAAGAATAATGGATTGATTGTATGACGATGACGACGACTAAGTTGATGATGATGATGATGGTGATGATAAATAGTGGTGGAATGCAGCAAAGCAAACAAGAAATATTGTTGAAAGTAAAAACTTTGGTTTTGAGTTTTTCTGTTTTACTTTATTCAATGTTGCTGCATTAATAACGTTGTTGCATAAATAACGTTCAAAACAAAACACATTGTTGCAACACTAGATACCTATTAATTTGTTTTATATTTTAACACACAAACACACACTTGTTTAGATTGTTTTTTTTTTTTAATTAATATTTTTATATTTTACTTTTCTACTCAATCGCTTTGTTTGGTTAATATTATTATTATTCTCATATTTTCATTTGTTACGTTTTTATTAGTATTTTTCAAACATTTTCAAATGCTTATTGTTTTTCTTTTTTCAAAGTTTCACAGTTTGACATCATAAACACATACATTTAAATATACGAATACGAGTACGTTCGATTTTATTGGTTACTGTAATGAAAAGACGAAAATTACTTTTGATTTAAATTTTTAAAGAAAAACACACTCGCACACATTTGTTTACTAAATCAGCTGATTGCTGATTTTCGAATTTGAAATTCCCAATTATTCTTTTTCGATGTTTTGTTATTTCTGAATATTTTATATATTTTTTCGTAATATTTAATAATAAGTAACAATAATAAATGTAAAAATAAATTAGTTACAACAACTACAGGAGAGTATTGTGTTAACTGAAGATTACTAACGACACGCGTTTTAACTTGTTATTGTGTTTAAGTCATGTTTTGGTGTTTTTATATTTATTTTCGTCTGTTTCTTGGCTAAGATTATGATGACTGACTGACTGACTGCAGCAAAAGAGTAAATACATATGACGGGTTTAAGCCCTTGGCAACAGCCAACAATTTGTTATTGTTTTTTTTTTGTATTTTATTTTCTATTCGTTTCGTTTATGTGTTTGATGTGATCGTGTTTGAAGCTTGGTTTGTTTATTAACTTGTCTGTATGTTTCAGTTAAGATACATATTTGTTTACATTTATATACATACAGGCATACATACATACATATGTACTTAGTTTCAAGTTAAGATCTTTTTCTTGATAATTTTTTTCATTTGTTTTGGTTTTCTTTAGTCTCATTTGTTGCTGTTAAGCTTAAATTTTAAATGTAATATTTATTTGTGGTTTTGTTTTCATCATCTGATACAAAATGTTAAACCAGAAAATTAAAAAAAAAAAACTTGTTCATTACGTTTGGCAAACCTTTCAGTCAAAGTTAAAAACAAAACAATAATAAAAAATATTTTAAAGAAAAGACAAAAACTGTAAATTTACTAACATCAATCTTTGCAAATCAATGATGTACTATGACAGTTTGTTAAATAAGTGAATTCCATGTGATTTTAAATATTCGTTGAAATTTGCAGTTGCAATTTTATTTTTTAAATTTTCAGTAGACATCTTAGGTGACTAATTTTTCAGTCATCCGTACAACTTAAAATTGTACGTTTTTAATGGAATCTTTTTAGTGAAATTATTTGATAATAAAAAAAATAATAATTATAAAACTGCATAATAATAAAATTTTTAAAATATGTAAAAATATTTTTTTCAACATTTCCATTCATAGATAAAAAAGTTTTCCCTTAATTACCAAATGCAATAAAAGAGAAATCAATTCATCTTTGAAATGAACTTTAAAACCAAAACAACAATTGCTAATTAATTAAGCAAGCTCTTTAATTGATAATTAAGCATTTGAAACAATGAATTTATTCTTTAAAGTTTTCGACTGCATACAAAAACAATAAAAAAAAAAATAAAACAAACGTATTTATAGAGATTCGTTCGTGATCGCATTTATAAAAGAAGAAAAAAAATATAAAAATAAAAAATGGCAAAATCCAACAGCAACAATTGATTAATTCACAAAAATTTCCATGTGTGAGTGATCTATCTGTAAGTGTGTTAGTGAATGTATGTGTTTGTGTGCGTGTATTTGTTTTTTTATTTTTCATTTATTATTATGGTCTTTTTGTTTCAATCTTTTTTTTTTTTTGAAACTATTCATTCAACGGAAATAGTTTAGTAACCGTAAAAATTAATACAAAAACAACAAAACACAGTCATGCGAATTTCCGTGCAATTTTAAAGGAAAACATATTTTTCTCAATTGGTTTTAGTTTTCAATTCTCAACTGTTTTTAAATTGTTAAAATAAATTTGTTTAAAACACTTGCGTTGTGAATTTACAATGAAAATATTTTTCTTTTTTACTTTAGTTTGAATTTTAATTTTCTTCTTAATCAACACAAACTACTTTTTTTCTTTCTTTTGTTTTCTGAAATTGTTTTGTATTTTAGAATTCTCTTAATTTTTTTTTTATTTTTTGCTTTAGATTTAAAAGTTTTCTCCGTGTTACACGTCCGATTTCTTCACCGTTTCGCAGACAACTGAATTGTTTTCGAAACTTTATAGAAGAGTTTAACTGACTTTTTTCACTGTGCTCTGGCAACATTTGTTAGCTTGTTTTAAACTCAGTATTGGAATTTGGTTTAAAGTTTTCTCGCTTTGAGCCGGGCTTATTGGAGCTGAGCAGCCAACAACTCAAATGAGTAAATCTCTCAGTATTGTTGGTAGAGATTTGTAGATTATTAACAGTAGTATATTTGGTTTTCTGAGTTGCCGTTTGTTGGCCGTTGGAGAGCAAACCAAATATAAAAATAATAAAATAAAATTCCATAAAAAATTAAAAAAAAACTTGGTTTGGACATTGGCATAGTGGTGGCGGTGGTTAGTAAACTATGAGTACGAGTTCATGCCAATGTCGTGATACAAAAGTCACCATTTAAATGTAAAATTCTGTTGATTTTTCTTTTTCTACTTTTTTGCCGTTTTCTTATCGCCTTTTTCTTTTTTGCGCTGTCTTCATAATTCTTGTTTATGATTCTTTAAAGAGTTGTGGGATACACAGTATAAATAATAATAAATGATATTAAAAGAAGAAAAAACACACGATATATAAATGATATTCATATAAATATAAATTATATATTCATTTATCTACCAATAAACACTGTGACATAAAATATTGTCTACAAATAAATATAAACATTAGATTATGCATATTTAAGCCATTAGGGTGGTTCATTAATTGGACCAATCTAAACAGAATTCAGTTTTCATAAAATGGATAAAATAAATTCCTTTAATAATTTCAATACATAGAGCAATGGTTCCCAAGTTAAGTTCAGTGCACCACTAAGAAGCCATATTAAAATTATAATATAAATACATAGATCACATACGTACATTTATTATTACGACCGAAATTACACTTATATATTTTATATTTTACTAGCTAAGACGATTCCACGTTACTGGTCTAAAATTTAAAAATTTGCTCTCATAATGTATTTCCATACATTCATTAATGGATCTATTATTCGTAAGAAAAAAAAATAATTTATAAAAATTTCATATTTTAAAAATTGCACCCTTTCAAATGAGAATCAAAATAATCTGTTTATTTTTAGACAGATATAACAATGACTTACGGCTCGGTGAAATGTAGTTGTTCTTTTTTAAAATTAATAGCAAGTTGGTTTGGAAATTAATGATTGTGGATTACCAATACTAAAATATGCGGACCGAAAAGTTTTAAGTAAATTTTCAATATGAGGGAAGTTTCAAATCTTGGTATTTAGGTTAGGTTGATATGAGAATGTATACTACATAAATTCCGAATAAATACACACAAACAAACAGAAACCTTATTGTCCGATGTTCAGAAACTAAATTTCCTGCACTTAATTCCTAAGAATTTTACAATCAGTGTTCGTGAGGGATGTTTATATCCCGAATAATATCACTCCCAAGATATTTGGATCTAATTTCGACGAAAACCTGACAACCGGCAAATAAATGTGGATATTAAATTATGTGTTTTATCTTTGGATTTATAAGTAACATTTTACAAAAAAGCATTTTCGTAACATCCCAGGAAAAAATTATATTGAAAAGTAATGAGTTAAAAAGCTAATCAAACTCCTTTTCACAACTTCTTCATTAGCATTTTAACTCATTTTTTTAACACGGTGATGACATTGGAGGCAAGTAGAGAATCTCTACTAGGGAGTTAGAGAAGTCACTTACAAAGAAGTTGTTAAGTAAGTTATTTTGTTTTTTAATAATAAAACGAGCCAGCGAGAATACGAACCAGGGACTTCGTTAGTTAACCAGGAACTTTGTTAGTCAAATGTTCTACTCACTACATTACTGATTTGCTATTCTATGAAGTCATAGAAAAGTAAGTGGTTATGTAGGTACAACTCATTATCGTCATTTACAACTATAATACCCCAAATTATTTAGAGAACACTTAGAAAATATGCTGTTATAGGAATTCCGTAAATTCTAAAAAAAATAATTCCCAAAAATTTAGAATCATAAAATCGTTCTTCAGCTATATTATGTCATTTATTACGAAATCGGACCTAATTATAATTTTACTAAAATAAGCGAATTTCTAACGATTTTAGTCAATCTATACATTTTTCGATTTTATTTGAACTGATCATTTTTTAAACTAAATTTTCTCTTCTAAACAATACAAATAGCCATTTGTGCAAATTTGCAAGTTTGCACACGAGTTCCATGAATCCTCTTATTATATTCTTTAAAGAAACTGAATAATATTCCAATTGGATGTTGTAAAATAACAGTTTAATCAAAGAAAAATCTATTTTAAGAATATTCCAGAGCAAAAACAATGAAATGAAGTACATATTTGCAAAGCTGAACGATCGGATTTTGTTTTTTTTTTTTTAGTTTTAATGAAGGCAAAACACAAGTAGTTTTTAATGTTTGTTTGCACAAGTGTATGTTTTTTTATTAATTTTGTTTAACTTTTTATTTTAATAATACAAATAATAATGTATAACATATACATTTTGCCCAAGAACTAACTCTTCTGATTTCAAATTTTCATTAATAAAGAAATGTTAAACAAACTTGGAATTATTTGTTGAACTTTTTATTTTAATAATACAAATAATAATGTATAATAAGACATTTTGCTCAAGAACTAAATCTTCTGATTTTCATTAATAAAGAAATGGTTAACAAACTTGGTATTATTACGGCTACACACGTTTTATTAATACATACATACATATACTGTATGTATGTATTTTTAATTGTTCATTCTTAAGTTGACATTTTGCAAAGTTCAGTAGAAAAGAAATATTAAGATTAATGAGAAGATCATGATCATTTATAAAAAAAAAATCAGGCTACGTAAAATGATTATAGTGATGCAATTCATATTTTATGACGTTAAATTTATGCGCACTTTAAAATTTGAGCTTAACTTAATGTTTCGCTATATATCTACGTAAAAATATAGGGTGCTACCAATAAAAGTATCGAGTAGTGAATATTTTTCTTTGTATATAACCATTTACTGTGAACTCAAAATTACGCTCTAAATCGAAAAAAAAAAACTCTTGGAACACCGGTATCCCGTAGACGTAAAATAGATAGAGTAGTATATGAACTAGACAATAGACTACGTTATTGGTTTAGAGTAGTGTATTGAATATAATGAATATTAGTGGAGAAACAAATTCATAGAGTAGTCTATACACTAGATAATAGCATAGTCTATAGACTAGACTCTAAAGACTATATAATAGTCTATGGTATAGTCGGTAAATAATTCAAAGACTAGGTCACAGACTAGAGTCTAAACTAATTTTTAGACTAGACCGTAAAATTTCTAGTAAAAAGTACTTTAAAAATTTACTTTTTCGGATAAAAAAGTATTCCTAAAGAAGTACGCTCTTCGTTAAAAGTTATTACTGCTTGTCTGGTTGTAAACTCTTCCAGGTTTTTTAACAATATGAGAAAACATAAACAAGAATTGTATTTTCCTCTTCTGAAGTTTAGTAAACATTTTACCAAAGTAGGTAGTCTTTTCAACTTTGTTTCAGAAGTACAATCTCTTCAATAAGGAAATAAATATAAAATTGTACAAAATTGGTTATTGGTGTACCATTGTAATTTTAAGGATTAATTGTATTTATTTTTTCTATTAAAGTCACAGTAAATAACAAAATTTAATTGTTAAAAACCTATGGATCACCCGTTATTCATGTTGCTGATGACGTCCGAACGAATATTACTTAAACAATACTTAAGGTAATAATTGCTGTTACGATTGCAATCATGTTTAAAAGATCATCTACACCATTTTCAATTGTATTTCAATTTATATTTCCCAGTTCCAATTAAACATATTTCAGAAATTTCTAATTGTATTACTAAAATTTAACAATTTCAAATTTTGTAAATAAAATAATAACATGTTTCTTAAATAAAAATGGGCATTTCTAAAATATAATTAGTAAAATTTGAAATTTAATTGGAAATTTCTAAATTAAGTTCTAAATAGCAACTGGAAATGGTATAGTGGCAACGTAATTCTAGGTGAGAAAAGTCAGCATTTATCATTAACTTATCATAATAAAACTGTTATATTTGTTTTAAATGTTAAACATGACAGTAATGACTATTATTCATTAATTAAATACATAAAAAATAATAAACAAATTAACAAAATTTCATACACTGTATTTGGAATTATAAATCGACTTCGATTATGATTGTTTGCTTATGATTATTGCTCTAAAAATTCTATGATTTTGTGATTGAATCCATTCATTTTATAAACTACTTACACAATATGTAGCATTTTAAGTCATTATTTTAACACAAGCACTTACCACAAACGCTTACAAGTAATTAGAAAAAATAGTCAATTTCTTAACTCCTTGTAATCAGGACGATATGTTTATAGTAGTCATTAAAAGTATGTTAATAGGTAAGTGGTTACAAATGAAAGTCATTATTAAGTTTTTGCTGGGTTTATATTTTTTTTTTTTACTTCAAACGAAAGTTTCTTTACATAAAATTAGGGTATTAATATCACCGGAATACAAGTTGTAAAAAGCAATAAATATGTAAATCATGCAATCCTAGATATAAAATATGACGAAAATCACATTTCATCCTAGCCTTTATATATAACCCTTTGTTTGTTATATGACTTTTATATGACTTTGTTTACCGTTTATAACTAATTAATAGCGTGAAAACTCCGCATAAACCAATTTTATGGGAACCAAATTTCATGTGGACCGGACTATGATTAAACATATATTTATATGACAAACCATACAGAAAATTTGTTTATATTTGACAAATCATAACCTTTTTAATATTAAGATACAATCCGATAAAAGTAGATTATTTTAAGAAATTAGTTACTGTGTTAAAGTCGCCATTCAAGGCTCTCTTGCGAATATCGCGCATAATACAATACATAGTTTGATAATACATAATACTTCTAGTTTCATTAAAATATAAATCCCAAGCATATAAAAGAAATAAGATTGTATAGTTTGATATAATTTTGAAATATCCTTCATAAATTTCTGAAATAGATGCGAATAAGAGCGTATAAACCAGTTGGAAAATTTTACAGGAGACGATAAAAACGATAAATGTTACAATCGATATATTAAATATTTTTCTACTTTTCACAGAAGTACGAAATTTGGACCTTTATGAAATTGGATAAGTTCATACATTGAAATAATAAAATAACACTGAACTAATTACACAAGTCAACAAAATCGAACTTTTTGCATGC